AGCCTTCACCGCTGTGACTGAAGCTCTGTACAAGACTTTTGGCCAGCGGAGAAATTAAAATGGTTGTGACGAACTGAGTCTGGTTTCTCTAAAAGTTTTTTTTCTTCACTCTCCGCTGTCGCCACTGGCATACATGGTTCTGGATCTGTAAAGCTATGGATTGATGAATTTGCTCTTCAGTGTTTGGACTCTCAGTAATGATTTAAACCACACTGAACTGAACTAAACTGAACTGAAACCCTAAAAACTTAACTACCCTGATCCAGTTACTATGACCATTTATGTGAAGCTGCTTTGACACAATCTACATTGTAAAAGCGCTATACAAATAAAGCTGAATTGAATTGAATTGAGTAAAAGTACAGATACTGCAGAATAAATTTACTCAAGGGATAGTAAAAGTCCACATTTCTTAAACTGCTTTGTAAATTACAATTTCTGAGAAAAACTACTCAATTACAGGAGGTTGAGTATTTGCAATTAGTTATTTTACACCACTGTTCGCCAGTAACCTACACTGAAACAAAGTAAAGATTTTAAGAAAAAGTTGGAATTGATCAGATGATGAAGCAGTGAGATTCACAATTTAATGTCAAAGAGCTAATAATCAAATGCCACATAAATAAATATTCTGTATAGTAAGAACCACAACACTAATGGTAGCACTTTATTTTGCAGTACAGTTACTGAATGTGTATCTACAGATAGCTTAATGTAATGAAATAAACTCCAGTTGAGTTTACAGAACAAACTGAGTTAAATGAGGTAACTACCTGGACTGTGGACAGTACCTAGTATTGCCCAGTTGGTGTAATTACTATGACAAGCACAGATATGCACTAAATCTAATCATGAATCTCAACATGTCCATTTACATCAAAGAGAGTAGACCGCCTTCTCCAAATGCTGTTTTTCTCCACACTGTCAACTCATGGAGTTTAAGAATACTTAATATTCAGTTACAGTGGTTTTATTGACTCTCTTTGTGTAACTATTGGATTATATGTATGAGTTGACTTGACTTATCTGTTTTACTCCACTTATAATAACTAAAAATAAGCACAAGTCAGAGACCTCTCAAGTCTGAAAGTCAGAGACAGGTTGAAGAGATTAGATTCACAAAGACAAGAAATAAAGCAAGAAGGAATGTGTTAAAATCCAAACAGTGAGCAGAGATTAATATGAATGAGAGGATAATAGATGTACAAATCTATAAAAACACAACAGGAATGATTAACGTTTACGGCTGTGTGAAACAAAGATTAAAGATAACGTAGAGCAATGAACCAGGTGTTATCTCAAGGCTTGGTCAATAGTCTTGACCATCAGCGTCACATCTGAGCAAACAGAGACTCAGAACATCATACTTTCACTTCTGATTTCTCAGAGTTTGTTAAAGATTTTGGAGATAAACTTTTCTAACTGTGAATGAATGCATACTCAAAATAATGAATTACTTCAAATAAAGACTCCATTTAAAAGCTAGATTTATAACAAAGTCCCAAAACTGCCCATGAACATTATTCAATGACCAAATGAGGGTATTGTTGTACTACAGAACACAAATTTGAATACCAAACAGCAAATGAAAGCACCTCTGCTGGTCTTTATTTAGACATGCACAAACAGCACTTCTGCTTCTTGAAATCATGTGACATACAAGAAAGCAAAGGTATCTGTGACAGTTTTAAAACTGAGATATACTGTTCATAAACTCATAAAAAGTCCATGCTTTTATGACTTCTTGGCTGAACTACTGTAATGTTCTGTTTGCTGGCTGCTTATCCTCTATTAATATACTTCAATAAATACAAAATGCAGCAGCCAGAGTTCTGACCAGGTCTAGAAAATATGATCATATCACCCCAATGTTCTCCTCCTTACACTGGCTGCCTGTTCAGTTTCGTATTGAATTTAAAACATTACTTCTTACATATAAAGCTCTAAATAATCGAGCTCCTGTTTATCTAACCAAGCTTCTGTCTCTCTACAATCCAGTTCGCTCTTTAAGATCTCAAAACTCAGGGCTTCTGGTAGTACCTAATAACAAAATCAAGTAAAGGAGGTAGAGTCTTCTCCTTTATGGCTCCTAAACTCTGGAATAGCCTTCCTGATAACGTCCGAGGCTCAGACACACTCTCGCAGTTCAACACTAGATTAAAGACCTTTCTGTTTAATAAAGCATACACTCAGTGCAGCACTTAGCGATATGATACAGGAATGGTCTCCACACAGGCTTCTGCATCTTGTTTATATACACTATGAACAGCAGCTATGCTAATTATTCTCTTTATTCTCTATTTCCACCTGGGGATACTCATCCCAAGACCCTCAGACTATGCAGCGCCACTGATAATTCCAAGACCAGCAACGAAATGATCCCAAGGTGTCCATATCCTGGACCAGGCCATATCCTGAGCTGCTGCTGTGCTGTTGGTCATGGAGGAGTGGAGAGTATGAGACTGATTCCAGTGACGCTTCAGGGACAGACGAGTCTTACTGTTATGCTGATGACTGTCAAATTTATGTTCCAATTTGACAACAGAAGTGAGAAGACTCACCAATATGTCGAGATGATGAGCTGCTGTCTACCATATTCACAAAATATAAAAAAAAAAAAAAACATTAAGAAATAAACATTTCAGCTGAGGGATTTTGCTTTGCTGCATGTTTATTAAATGAAAGTGCTTGTAACTCTACAGCAGTGGTTCCTAAACTGGGGTTATGGGACAATGACTCCTGGTGTAAAGTCTAACAAATTTGATTAAACTATTAGAAATTACATAATTTATCCATAACACACAGAAGATAAAAACAGTAGTTAATAGTTTCATAAAAAAAACAACAACAAGCTAATTAAAAGCTATCAGCCTTATGATTTATTTTGCATGGGATTGCGCCCCCTGGTGTGTTCTCCTTAGATTAACCACACAGTAATAGCGTCACCTGCAGCAGATTGATTTTACAGCACCACCAGGTTTAACTTTCACCTTCATATGGGAATCAAATACATTAAAAATAAATCCAGACCATGACTGAAGATGGAGGATGATCTCTGAGTGGCGTCTCCAAAATTAAAGCAAGCAGCTGTGTGCTGTAAACTGTGTGCCCACCAGTATCATTAGGCGAGGTTTATAATAAATTAAACAAATTAATAAATGATTATCAACAAAATATATGGTTGTTACACTGTTGCACTTTGTGTCATCAATATGCTTGTGTTAATATAGACCTATTGTTGTGTGTGCAATGTTCCTATACTTATAACCACCAAGGATAGTGGGGTCCCGAGTCACTGGCGTTGTAATTTTGAAAAGGAACAAACTGCTTGAACTTGAAACTGGTGCAAGTTACAATCCACCTTACAGTCATGTGATCCTATCAGCGTGATCTGTCAGAGGACAGAGATATTTCGACAGTACAGTGATTTTAATCTGCATCTTCTCTAAGTGGTTTCGACTGTGATTTTAAAAAAAAATCTGTGACTGACTTTGGGTTTCAACTCAAAAGCTGCTCATTACTCCTAACTTTGACAACATGAAGTGCTAGAACTCATTTTTGAGCAGTGAATGAAATGTTATGTGAAAATTACCACAGACTCTTGCATGTAAAAATCAAATCACTGAGTCACTTCTGTGGTATTTAAGCTCCCTGCAACAAATATTATTGTAATACAGCGGTTCTCACACACTATGGTGCACACAGGCTGCAGTGTAAACTATTAGCAAGACGTGTAGCAAGTCAAGAATATCTTTAGGTGGTAAAACTAGACTGATCAAGTAATAAATAAATGAAACTACATGCGACATTAGACGACAAATCAGTCATAAGTGTCAGTTATTAGAAACTGAGATTTATACAACATCTGAAAGCTGAATAAATAAGCTTTCCATCAGAGTGTTTTGCTAGGATAGAACAACGAGTCAAGTGAAACTATTTGAGAAAGCTAGAATCTGAGAGTTTAGAAAAATCTAAATACTGAGAAAAATCGCTTTTACACCTCTCCAAATTAAGCTCTACAATGCAAATGTGCAATGAGAAAAAAAGGGTTTTGATACATTTATAGAAGTACGTTTACAAAATATCACCATGAAAGATGATCTTTCCTTAATATGCTGATGATTTTTGGCATAAAGTAAAATATTCATTCAACCTGCAGTTGCCATTTGATATGTTTATTATTTCTTGTTTACAGTGAAGGGCTTAGTAGAATCATCAGTCTTGTGATTCCTGTCCAATCAAATCACACACAGAAATATCACATCAAACTGCAAAAGTTTGGTTTGTGATGCCACCTGCTGGAGATGGACACTCACTTTGTTAGTCAGGGGTAAAAGGGTATAACCCGAGCATTAACATGTCAACACAGCTTTATTTTTACCCTTAGATTACAAAGATTGTACATGCATCAACCTGCTTTCTGTCAGCTTATCATATGTGTATATACTGTATTAATATTATGTGTTCTCACTTGAAATTAATCCCTCGTTTTAAATGATCTATGATTAAATTTAAACCACACTGAACTGAACTGAACTAAACTTCAACTATGAAAACTGGACTGACACAGTTTCAGTTTACTAGAACTTTTGTGTTAAGTTGCTTTGACACAATCTACATTGTAAAAGCGTTATAGAAATAAACATGAATTGAATTGCAACTAAATCCCTTCCTGAAGAAAGTCAAATCAGAAACACACAAGTAAAACATGATATCTTATCCTCACAAAACAATCAAGACATAGACAACTATAGAAAACAGACTGCATGTTACTGTACATCATTAAATGATTCAAGTTTTCTAATGCAGGCCTGAAGCCTGATGTGCATGCTATGACGTGAAAATTGGCCCGAAGTCCAGCCCTAGGGGCAAAAAAAAAAAAAAAAAAAAGTCAGACCCCAACAGACTCAAATGCAGGGCTCTACTCTACAGATGTAAAGGTACAGTTTGTGATACTGACAGCTAGTGGGCGCTACAATAGAATAGCTCAGAGACAGGAGTAAGTTTCAGTAAGTTTATTGGAGCAAGCAACAACATGGCAATATGTGAGTATATCAGTAATAGCATTTGATTACAGACTGATTGATAAAATGATTGACAGAGTCTTTTATGTGAGTTCACACTGCATTTTAGCCCTAATTTTCACTCAATGACAGGTTTGGAGAAATGGCAAGGCAAATCAGTGCTCATTCATACAGTGTGAATGATCCAAAACGTGATCAGAGAGTCTTCGACATGCTGCTGCTAAATATTTGACATGTTAATATCTAGACTAAAATCATTCTATGATAAATGATTTCTGACTGAAAAAAGACACAAGCAAAGACCAACAGCCAATGAGAGTAGGATTCAGGTCCCCACTTAACTGCAAATTTGATCACAGACCAATAAATGGCAAATTATTAAAAAAAAAAAATTCTTATAGGAGAGTATATTTTATCATCTTTCATGTGGTCCTGGGTTATTTCATTATCGCTTCTTGCATGCATTTGGGAGCCACACAGAGTTATGGGTGATTTTAATGTAGTCATGAGGGTGTATCCTGAACTGACAGCTTTGATAATTGCACAGTGTGAACTCTGCATAAGGTGTATTACAGGTAAATAGAGAAATCAAACATGTGTGACACAGTGGAGTGAGCACACATTAGATGAATGGTGAAGTTGAGGAATAAATGAGTACAGGATAATTATCAATACAATAGTATACTTTAAGCTACACCAGGCATTATTTCAGTTCAGAAAGAGAAGCATATTGTTTATCATCATGTTACTCTTCAAGTGAGAAGATCATTGCTAGAGGAGACATGAATTTTACTTTATATACTGTTGCTGACACTTATAGACTGCTGCTGTCACTGGGAGCCAGAGGTCTGAAATCTGTAGCAAAAAAAAAAAAAAAAAAAAAGACAAAATAAGTAAAAACACACACAGTATTTCTGTAAAACAAGATCAGCTAATTCACTACAATGCAAAGTAACACACTGCAAAAAAAGCTTTTCTTGCTTAGATTTTTTGCCTTGTTTCTAGTCCAAATATCTAAAGCTGCTTTTCCACTATCGTGCCAAACCGTTCTAAGAAAACGTCGGTACGGTTACGGTTGTTTCTCCACTGAGCCTGGAACGGCGCGGTACGATTACAAACCGTTCTCGGCCCGGAATTCTCGGCACGGTTAGTGCTGAACTGTGCTGACAGATTCTGTGTGTTGACGTCCCGACTCGGTTGCTAAGCTACCACAGCTGGCTCAGCAGAAGCGCGCTAGTCATCAGACATCCTCAATAAACTACAGTACAGTTAATATAAAATAATGATCCAGGTCTAAACGATACAGTTTGAAAAGGGTTTTAAAACCATAGAGCAGTCTCTGTCAGAGAAGTGATCACATTCTTACGAAGATATTTTATTCATTAAAGTTATTATTTTATTGACTTGAATACAGACCTACTTCGCCTGCCTGAATGTGAGTTTATTGCACGCAGCGCTGTATTTCACAGCACAAAACTCGCTCTGATCCAGGAGAGACATGCCAGCGACTTGCGCTGCTGACTATTTTTTCCTGCTACACATCGAATAAAGCGAATAAAGTCACGCTTTGCATCATCGATGTCCAAATTCCACAAAAACATCACTATATCCATGGAACACGAACTTGCAGACTCTTTTAACAACGAGGAAATAATTGCACTTTTTAATTCAAAGCCAGGACAGCTTGTTAATACCGGCGAGACCACCTGAAGGACGGTGTGTTGTAATGTCGGCCGTCCAAAAGACTTTGCTTGAAAGCTTTACGGAGCGGCACTGTAACTGTCCAAGGTACTGTTTAATGATTTATATTATAGCATATGCACTAATAAACAAGTCAAAAGAATGAATGAATTAAATAAATATGGATTCTTAAATGTCAGTATTGCTTTTACTCAAAAAATATCAATACGTTTTGTCAAATGTTTTATAAAAATAAAATGAGCAATTTTCATCATTTCAGCTAAAGGCAATTATATGATTCAGTTATACATAAGTTATATGACATTTATGAGGCATGTAACATGTTTCTGTGTTTTTGTTTTTTTGTTCTTGGTGATCTTTAATATAGCTACGCAAATATTTTCTAAAACGTCTAGCAATAATTCGCCTACAGCTTGTTAGTTAATTATGAACACAAAAATAATTATAATTAAAAAAATAAAATGATCAAAATAAAAAGATATCAGCATTTTGCTAAATATAATAGTGCTTTATATGCTTTAAATCCTGCTATATATTGTTTCATATTCGTTTTTTATTTCACTTGCTGCATTCGTTATTTAATGTTTGAATAGTAAAACAAATAACAGTCATCGCTTAATTGGTTTCATTTTACCATCAAAATGTAGTATATTTTATATCATTATCAACTTTTAATATAAAAACGCAGTGTAATTTAATTAATTGTTAAAAATGAAATAATTTATGTGCTGTGTTTTTATTAGTGAAAGTGCCCGCTCACCTTTGACAAGGCCTGTCCAAAATTATATTTCTGCCACTATAATGCAAATGCACTATTATTGTTGTCTTATCATTGTTTATTTTTCTGTTATGTTCAGAGATTTTAAATATTATTTGTTTCCCCTCCAATTATTTTCAATCATCACGTTACATTTTGGTAATTTTCCCTCCAAATAAAATTTAGCCATAGCGGCGCAACATATAAATAAATAAGGGTGCACATTTACCTATATTTAGCACCTATTTGATAGAGCGGCATAACAGTGTTTGGTCACATGGTTGCTTTCGCTTTTATGAAAAAAAAATAGTTTCGGCTTTTATTTAACTTTAATTGAACAAAGGGAGCCGTTTACATTGCGTTACCAAGACAACTACTGATGCGTTTTGTGTAATGTTTTAAAGAGCTTTGTCGCAGCACGACAGTGGAAAATGAAACCATATCCGTGCTGTCTGGCCCAGTTTGGCACGGAATGGAACGGTTCTGTTTAAAGAACGATTCAGCACGATAGTGAAAAAGCAGCTTAAAATTTCCAGGCAAGCAAAACATATTGTCTTGTTTTAAGAAATAATATGCTAATATTAAATGAGTTTTTCCTTGAAACAGGCAAAATAATCTGCCAATAGGGTAAGCAAAATATTCTTGTTGTTCCTTTTGTCATAAGGTTATTTTGCTTACCCCATTGGCAGATTATTTTGCTTGTTCCTTATTTTGCTTGTTCCTTATTTTGCTTGTTTAAGGAAAAACTCACTCAATATTGGCATATTATTTCTTAAAACAAGACAATATGTTTGCTTGTCTGGAAAATAATTCTTAATTTAGGAATGTTTAGATATTTGGACTAGAAACAAGACAAAAAATCTTAGTAAGAAAAGCATTTTTTTTGCAGTGCAGTGATTTTGGACCAAAATTAACTACATGGTATTTTGTGCTCAAGATTCTCAATTTACCTGAATTTACCCTTTGTTTGGAGTATGTAGATTAAGAAAAGAAACGTTTTTTAATCCAACCACCAACATCTTCAATAGTACCAACAGCTCCTCCAGCAGCTGCTCCAACAACAGGAACATAGTAACCCCAGTCACTAGCTCGCTTTGACCTGTACGGTATACTGTCAATTTTTTTACGATATTCACGCTCTGCTTGCTCTCTAGTTTCACGTTTTACTTCATCCTTGAGTTTTTGGCTTTCTTTCTCATGTTTTCCTTCCAGGTCTTTTATGTGTTTCTTCTGTTGTTCTTCCAAAGCCTTCTCTTTCTTCATCTTTTCTTTAAGCAGTTTCTGCTGTTCCTCCAGTTTTTTCTGCAGCTCTTTTTGTAAACTTTCATCTTTTTCATTCTTAATCTCCTCTTCTTTCTTTTTAAACTCCTCCTCTTTTTTTCTCAGTTCATCTTGCATCTCTTGTCTTTTTCTCTCAGTTTCCTTCTTTATTTGCTCCATTTCTGCTTCATATTTGTCTCTCAGCTCTTTCTCTTTTCTCTTAATTTCCTCTACTTTCTCCATCAGGATTCTCTTTTGTTCTTCTCTGATGTTTTTCTCCACCTGCTGAAACATCTCATTGGTGTAATAACCTCCTCCATTTTCTGCCACCATGCGGTCAATCTTCTCCAGTAGTTCAGAAACCTGCACCTGATCTTCAGTCTCTTTATTCCTGAACACATGGTATCTGTTTCCACACTGATGGATGAGGTTCTGTAAGTTTTCATCTCCTTCAATAAAATCTTTAATGCTGGTTCCTCCTAGATCGTCTCCTCTGGTGAAGAGCACCATGGTGTACATGCTGGATTGATCACCAAACCTCTCCTGGATCATCTTCACTGCATCTTTCTCCTCATCTGTGAACCGTACCAGTGAAATCACCAACAGAAACACATGCGGTCCTGGTGCTGCCATTGACACACACTTCACAATCTCCTTCATGATCTGAGCATTATCAATTCCAGTGTCAAACAGGCCTGGAGTGTCGATCACGGTTATGCGTCCTCTGCTGAACTCAGCTCTGTCTTTCTGACACTCTCTGGTCACTGATTTTGAAGCCAGTGCTGATTTAAAAGCTGTTTTTCTCAGTATGATGTTTGCTGATGCACTCTTCCCAACACCTGTCTTACCCAGCAGCACAATCCTCAGATCATCATCATATGTTACATCTGCAAACAGCAAGATGGCAAAGAGTTATTTTAAAAGCAGTCCTAGTAACGCTTTATTATACAGTCCACAATTTACCAGGTAAGTAAACTGGATTTGCAGTAAACACAACTGTGTCATGTTGGCATATATAGATGCAGAATGGAGAGATGTCATGGATAGGAAGTAGTTAATGTATTTAAGAAAGTTGGGACAAGGACAGTTCAACGTGTAATGTAAAGAAAGGTGATGGAAAATAATTGAGTGGAAGAGGAGATGTAATATTGTATTGGTCAGATTTAAAAAAGATTTGGGATGGAAGGAGTAAATCTGATTGCTCTGACAAATGATTTAGTAGGGGAGATAATCAGTACAAAGGTGTGGGAAGATTGATCTTAGCAACAACAACAACAAAAGAAAATGTCATTGAGTGTTAAGAATCAGAGTAAGCAGAATCAGAATGTGCCCAAACACACAAGGACTTTTTGGGTTTGGATTTTTTTAGGGTTGCATGGCCCTGTCAACTAGATTACTGTCTTCCCTTACCTCTGGTAAGAACTCCGTCCCCAATGTAATTGTAGCCACTAGAACTGAGCACCACTGTGTCATATTACTGCTTAGGGCGTACTCACACTATGTACAGTTGCCGTGAACAGGGCTGAAGCACGCTTGTCCCCCATCGGGTCTCCCCCGATGGCCCACACTCACATTACATTCGAGCCTGGGCACGCTTACATCATCGATGATGCACTAAAGCACTCTCACTCAGCACAGTGGAGATTTCTTTAGTTATATCGTTTCAGTCGTGTGAGATGCAGTGACACAGTCAAACCATTTTTGACACTCATAAACAATCATAAAGCCCTCGTGCTGCAAGAATGAGGAGGTCTGCTGAAGGTGCACAGCCGTCGTGCAGTGAGGGGTTTGTGTCTTTAATAATCTACGACAGTTTGCGTTCATTGAACTGTAAGATTAATTTAAAAATCCGTATCAAACAGTTCCTTAAAGTCACATCGTCTCTACAGTTTTGGGCTTAGGCGTGTTTTGCACTCACACACAAGTGTAACGCGCATGAGCCCAAGTGAACCGCACTCTGGCACACCTCTTCCAACCGCACCAGGGCCAGCCAAGTGAACCGCACCGGAGCCTGATTCAGAGCACTCACACTTTTCAAACGATCCAGAAAATGGGCCTAAGCAAGGTTCAGATTGCATAGTGTGAGTAGGCCCTTAAAAACATAGGCTACATGCTACTTGGAAGTTATTGAAATTGCCCCAAAGTGCTTCATGTGCTTGTTAGTGCTGGGCATGATTGTACAAATGGTTTTGTTATAGTTTCTGCATTCCCAGTTAAATAACAGGCATCACATTCCCCACGTCCTTTCAGAAAAGCACATTTGCGATTTTAACTTATTTATAAATCAGCCTGTCTCTAATGTAAAAAATAGTTTCTTTATACGTATTCTACTTGTATACTTGTAAATTTGCTTTTAATTCTATGCATTTTGCAAGCTGTAATGTCAAATTTTTCAGACAAATTTTAAATGATAATTCTGTTCTTCCACTATCCTATTAAAGTTGTTACATGCCATGACTGTTATTTATTTTGGATTGCAGATCTGCTTTGCAATATTATTCTGCAGGTCAAAGATAAAAAATTTTTTTTGTGATTTGCAATATAAGAAAATATGCACGTTTGAAATATGTAGCACAATTTTACAGCAACAATTAACAAAGTCCTACTAACTGCAAACCCTGCATAAACACACAACACGCTGAACTTTAAATTTACCTGCTTCTGTTGCTTGAGTTTTCATCATGAATCTCTTCAGTTCTTCTATTTCAGCCTTGTGTTTGTTTCTCTCCAGCTCTATCTGAGCCTGAAGGAACATGAAGGAGGTGTAGAAACTGTTCTCTTCCACCATGTTCTCCACATCCTGCAGCAGATCAGGAACCTGTGAGCTGTTCTCCAAAACAAACTGTCGAGCTCCAAATGTTTGAATAGAGATCTCTGAAGAAGGATCTGTATTTATCTGATTATTCATCTTTAGGTTTACAATGATCATGTGTTTATTGATTTTGGAGCTGAAAATCTTCTGGATCTCCTCCATTTCTGCTTTATCTTCCTCAGTCAGTGGAGCATCAGAAATAAAGAAGAGGAAAGCATGAACTCCAGGATCACCGAGAGACACACATTGGTGGGACTGATGCATCACTTCCTCCTCTGAGAGACGACTGAGAGCTGGAAGCTCCAGCACATTAATCAGACGACCATGAAGATCCACAGCTTTACTCACACACTCCTTCTGATGTAAAGGAGGAAGGAATGTCTTTTCTCCTTCTATAAGTTTTGATACAGATTCCTTTAATATTTCATAATTTCCACAAAACACCATGTTCAGCTTCTGGTTTCCAAAAGTTTGGATTTCTAAAAAAAAAAAAAAATAATAATAAGGAAAAACAAAAAACAAAATGCGTTTCAATGTCATGTTAAATTAAAAAACAAACAAACAAAAAAAACAGACATGCACAGTCATGTTAAAATGTCATGTGCATTGTTGGACAGGCATTACAAGTCATGTGAGTCATGTAATATTACTTTTAAGTAATGATTAAAGTTATACATTATTTTAAAAATTAATAATATTTAAGATTAAAAATGGAATACAATTTACTTGATAATTAATTAGCTTTTTTAAAATGTTGAATTTAAATTAACTTGAAGTTGAATCTCACACATTGAGAGAATAAGGAAACACATTGCTTTAAACTTTCATTAATCTGTATATACTACATGTATGGCTCTGGGGTCAGGAAGTTCTCAGAAGATTATAATTATCCTACATTAACATTATTCTATATTAACATTATCCTACAATATGTTTTATGTGTCTTTAAAGGGGTAGGGTTATGAAGGTTAATACAGGTTATGAAGGTTGAAATGAAGGTTATACAGTGTGTTGTTAATTGCAGAGCTGCTCTATTAAAACAGAAGAAATTAAACCTACAGGCTCTAAAAGAGAGAGATCAAGCCTCACACAGGTAAGAAAAAGTAATGCAAAATTAATCATATTTTGTTGGAACACCTAAAATTACCTGAAGCACAGATGATTGGACTTGTCACCACTATCCATACCCATACAGCTATGCAAGCCCTTCAGTCGCAATATGGTCAACCAGACCAACTTACTCAAAATAGCAGGAAAATACCAGCAATCCTTACAGACCCTGATATCAAACTACTAGCCGGGCTCCCAGCTAGCTCTATCAAACCTCTTCAGATGCTTCAGAACGCAGCAGCACGAGTGGTCTTTAATGAACCTAAAAGAGCACATGTCACTCCGCTACTCATCCGTTTGCACTGGCTGCCAGTTGCTGCTCGCAACAAAATCAAAGCTCTAATGTTTGCTTACAAAGTGATTTCTGGCTTTGCTCCTTTTTTTTTGCTCTCACTTCTGCAGATCTATGTGTCCTCCAGAAACTTGCGTTCTGTGAATGAACGTCGCCTCGTGGTTCCATCCCAAAGAGGGGAGAAATAACTTTCCCGAACTCTCACGTTCAATCTGCCCAGTTGGTGGAATGAACTCCCTAACTGCATCAGAACGGCAGAGTCACTCGCTGTCTTCAAGAAACCACTAAAAACTCAACTATTTAGTCTCCACTTCACTTCCTAATCTGCAATTCCCTCTCTGACTCCACCACTAACTACATAAAAAAAATTACTAATGTTTTGCTTATTACACTTTCTTTACATACCTGAAACTCGCCTACTGCACTTATTCATTGCTGCTCTTATAGTTGTGTAAATTGCTTCCTTGTCCTCATTTGTAAGTCGGTTTGGATAAAAGCGTCTGCTAAATGACTAAATGTAAATGCAAACTAAATGATGCCACAGAGCTTCTCTCTCTGTGTCCATTGTCATTAAAGGGTCCAAAATGAATGAAGCTCTACAGTTGTTCACATGTAGATTGCATGTCAATTAAGCTGCCCAGGTATTCATGAGATGGCTTTATAGACTTTATTCAGCTGCAAGGGAAGCTCAACTCTCTCAGTATAAACCCATACAATTAACAAGACTTTGCAGGAAAGCTCCAGGTTAAAGCTCAGAAACAAAGGCTGTCCACTAGGCTAGTGCAATGTTACCAGTATGAGAGAGCTCCCAGTAGTCCAAAGGAGAGGAATGCACCTAAACCGAAAAGCCAAAGTATTGCCTTGTATCATTGTGCATCACTCTCCAAGTCTAAAACAGCCTCCAGCTCTAGGGTATTATGGAAGAAACCATTACTCAAAGTAAACTGTCTATTCTGTAGGAGCAATCATCACTACATCACCCGATGCAGCTGTACCAGAGAACAATCTGTAGCTGAACTTTGCAAGTGGATATCAGAGGGAAAGCGCTGCTGGAAATGTACTCGTTCTCATGCACTTGAGACCTGTAAATTGAAGAAACCCTACAGTGATTGTGGTAATATTCACCTTCAAGTACTTCATGCGGTGGCCCACAGTCATGAAACTGGCAGATCCTTAGTTAATTCTGAGAGCTGTTTCTACCTCTTACCAACCCTTGCATCGGGCAAAGTCCTTTTAAAAAAGTGGTACCTGTGCGGTTACACCACAAAGCAAAGACATTGGGGACGTATGCTACACTAGATGATGCACATTGCACAACGCACCCTAATTCTGTCCAGTGCTGTACAGCAGCTTCATCTCTAAGGTGAACCCGAGACTCTGGCCCTTCGTACAGTCAGACCAGACACCAATCATCTTAATGGCACAAAGGTAACATTTGGTATCTCCCCTCAAGCAAACCCAGAGAAACATTATAAGGTATCTGAAGCATTTACAGCTTCAGGTCTAGAACTGGGGGAACAGTCTTGCCCAGTTCCTGCTCCTCAGAGAAGGTATGCACATCTAAGGGAGTTTCCGCAACAACCATTTCATTAGATGCTAATTGGTTCAGACCAAGTTCATCTCATGACTGCCAAAGAGACTATTCACCAAGGCATCAACAGGGCCCAGTAGCAGTTCATACAGCTCTTGGAGGGGCTCTCAAGAGAGCAGCAATGTTTCCCTCAGATCGGTATCCAGTGCGGCAATGTTTCTTTGTATCTACTGCTGACCCCGATGATCATCTCTACAGAAATTTGGAAAAATATGGCAACTGCAAGCTTACCTTTTCACAATGAGAAGATGGTGGTTCGGTCTTGCCAAGACAATGAGGCTATGCAGGTGTTTGATCCTAAAACCCAGCAAGTTAAAGTACAGGGAGTACAACATTACGCCACTCCTCTTTTGTGGAAGTCGTGTGGAAAAGTTGTATGAGGCAGTTGCATATTTTGCAGTTTGGCATGATGGTGACATTCACATTACCTTCATACTGGCTAGATCAGCGGTTACTCCAAAGAGGCAGCAGTCCATGCCTCGTCTGGAGCTTTGTGCTGCATTAGCTGGAGGACAGCTCGCCAAACTGGTCATGAATAAGATGACACACACCATAAGTCAGGCAGTCCTGTGGACCCACTCTTTGACTGTGCTAAGAGTGGATTCAGTCAGACATAAGTAGATATAAGGTGTTTGTCAGAATCAGAATCTCTGCGATATAGGAGCTAACCGACCATAGACCATGGAGGTGCATGAATACACAAGACCGCGTGGATGAGAAAACAAGGTAAATCCCTCCAAAGTCCGGCTGAGCCTAGTCGATGGAGTCAAGGGCCTCCATTCTTGAAACAGAGCAAAGAGCATTGGCCTAAGAAACCTGAACCCACACAGTGAAAGTGAGCCTCCAAATTAAAAGGGCTTCAATGCTACCACCTCAAAGCAGATTACACTACCTCTAACCTCCCTAATTTTACCCAGTTCACTTCCTGGTGTGAATAAGTGGAGGCACTTGACAGTCTGCACAAAGAATGGACAAAACAAATTCTCCCTCCAGTGATCCTATGACTTGTAGAGAGGCAGAAGCTGTCCTGCTAAGAGTACATTAGCTACAAAGTTACACTGATGAACTTGCTGCCCTTACAGAACAGAAACCAGTTCTGGCACACAGTTGATTAGTCCGTCTTGCTCCAGAAAGGTATCCACTAACCAACACCATAAGACTTGGAGGTTGATTACAGAGGCTGGCAAACTCAGACCCTAAAAAAATCCACCCCATTTTACTCGATTCAAGACACGCTGTACCAAAGCTCCTTATCAAAGAATGCATTACATCCAGGAGCAGAAAGAGTCTACACTGAAATACGTAGACAGTATTTGATTCTCTTAGAGGACATCAGACCATAAAGCACCATCAACTTCACTGTCTGGCCTGTCAACATTGAAGAGTTTCTGCAAATGGTAGATTTGCCATCAGATCGCCTCCGATTGGTTTGTCCACTTTTTCACTCAACTGGTGTTGACTGCTTAGGCTCATGCCTGGTCAAAATAGGGCGGTGGACTGAGAAACGGAGGAGATTAATATTAAATTGTCTCACCACTAGGTCAGTACACATTGAGCTCCTCAATTCGATGGATGTAGATGTCTTTCTTCTTGCACTATGCAGTATCATAACCAAAAGAGGCAAACCACACAAGATCCATTCCGACTGTGGCACCAACTTTGTGGAGCTAAAAGAGAATTACGAAGCTTTCTGTAGTATGGAGCCAGAACTCAAAGCTGATTTGATAGTCTGAAAGCTGAGCTTTAAATTAAATCCACCTAGTGCTCCACACACTTCAGCGCAATATGGGAGCATGGGATCCACTTTATTAAGAATGCTCTCCAAGTGGCTAGAGGAACACAACCCGTTAAAGAGGATGTTCTGTCCACCATTCTAGCGGAAGTAAAAGGGATCCTCAATTTAAAACTGCTAGGATATGCCTCAACAGATGTTCCTGACACGAGGCAATAAATTAATCCATTTTGGAATGAGGCTGTAACATAAAAACATTGTGGGAAAAGTGAAGCTCTATAAATACTTATGAAATATGTAGGCCATAGGCCTATGTAGTTGTTGTAAGTGGCTGCCACTTTAAACATGTTCCAGTTTGTGCACTGAAAGTAGTCTTGTAGTGTTGCTGTAGCATTTTCGGGCCAGATTCTTATAAGTTTCTGAATTTTATTTTTATTTTTTTTTGGACTTTTAGGAGTGGCTGGTATGCTGGAACTAGCATAACAGAGATGTGGTCTGAGTATCTGAGGTGGGTGCAGGGCTCGGCTTAATATATGATCTTGTTTGTTGTGTAAACAAAGTCCAAAGTGTTGCTTCCCCTTTTTGCCAATTTTACATGTTAGTAAACATTTGGCAACACTGACATCAGGCACGATTGAAGTAGCCAGCTATTATGAAAAATGTTTATGAGTTATTTGTTTGCTCTTCGCAGATGGCGTTGGACAGCTTGCGAAGTGTGTCTTTTGTGTTTGCGGTCAGCTGGATGTAAACCTCGACAATAACAATGGCCATGAACCACTGCTGATTCCCAAAAGGCTTTGGCGATTGTACATGTGTACCTTATTGGTTTCCTTTTGAATCTGTGGTGAAATTACAGTATTTGAGGATGAACTGATTTCAGCACCGGAAGCACCGTTTTATGTCACTACATGGAAGAGCACATTATCATTACTTTTTAACTACTTACCAACTCTTGTTTAAACTCATTCATTCATGTAAACAAGTGTTCTGTCTACATCAAAATGAAGAGTTAATGATAATGTGCCCCTCCAAAAATAGTCATGACATAAAAGCTCATATTAATTACTTTTAGCTAAAGCTATAATTAACAGCATGTAACATGTAATTAAGGTAGCCATTATTCACACAAAAACTCATGTGATTCTTGTAGTTAAAGTTCATGATTAGTGCATGTGTAACCCCACCAGTCCTCAACCACCCAACACGCTCTGAGCTGGTACCGAACCAGCAACATTGCTCTAACAAAAGGTAAAAGACCAAGGTCTCTACTGTCTGACGCTAGAGCACTTTTAGAGGTCAGAGGAGTGAGGTTTAGCTGTACAGCACTTACTAGCTGGCCTTATCTAATCATTCATTCATAATAAAGTAATGTTTAATTTACATAACAACACATGATTAGTTATGTACAGTTATTTTACAGTTTTACCATTTTTTTTATATTGATGCTAAAGGAGAAAATGACATTAAATGTTGAAGGGACGTAAACCTTTTGAATGCAATGATCATTGTAAAATAAAATTTCAGTAAGGTAGCAATACAAGACTAGCATTGTACATTTCCTAAAGAAATTGTGAGTAGGGTTTGCATGGTAAATTGATGGGGTACAAAATGGTACTAAACCAGGCAAAATAGCATTAAATGCAGAGAAATTGTTAAATTCATGTGCTTATGTGGTTGTTAGGGTATTGTAAATGGTTGCTAGGCTGTGGCAACACCATTTAAATAAGTGAAAACATAAGAAATTTGATCAGCCTACATCAAAAGAGCCGAAACCCTGTCTTTCTATGATGTTCCTGTGCTGAAATATAGTTTGTTTCTGTTGTTATATGGTTGTTAGGGGCCTACAAGTGGTTGCTAGGGAGTGTCAACAAACTTACTAATTTAGATATTGATGTCAGCCATTTTGTGCCAATGTTAAGTTTAAGGGGATTTTTGGATGTCAGCCTTTTTTAACATGATTAGCATGTAGATAGCATGATGCTAACATGATTAGCATCTGGTTACCAACATGCTTATCGAGTTGCTAGCATGATGCTAATATGATTAGCATGTGGCTAGCATGATAGCTACATGCTAATCGAGTTACTAGCATCATGCTAGCAACAGTGCTAGGGTGCCCTGAGTGGTTGCTAAGGTGTTGCTAGGCGGTTGCTAGGGTGTTCTGTGTGTTTGCTAGGTGGTTGCTAGGGTGTTCTGAGTAGTTGCTAGGTGGTTACTAAGGTGTTGCAAGGTGGTTGCTAGGGTGTTCTGAGTGGTTGCTAAGGTGTTGCTAGGCAGTTGCTAAGGTGTCCTAAGTGGTTGCTAGGTGGTTGCTAAGGTGTTGCTAGATGGTTGCTAGGGTATTCTAAGTGGTTGTTAAGGCATTGCTAGGCAGTTGCTAGGGTGCCCTGAGTCATCGTTAGGCACTTACTAAGGCATTACTAGGCCGTTGCTAGGTGGTTGCTAGGGTAATTTGGCTGGTTGCTAGGCAGCTGCTATGGTACCCTGGGTGGTTACTAGGCAAGCCTCACATACATGCTTGATCAAATATTTATACTCCGTATACCAGGCCAATCCTCATGTCTCTACGATGTTCTGATGCTGAGATACAGCTGTTGATTAATGGTTGCTAGGGTACTCTGTTTTGTTGCTATGGGCGAGGTTACAGAGTGAACTTGAAAGTGGTTGGCTGCCTAAGTCAAATGAACCAACCCCCATGTCTGTATGACACTGCTATGCAAAGATATGCATCTAGGCCTAATTTCATGGAAGTCTAAGGAAAAATTTAGGGACGTGGCCTGTGAGCTTCATTATCATATTGAAAAGCTGATTGGTTGTCTGAGTCAAATGAGCCTTACCCCAAGTCTGTATGACACTGCTATGCAAAGCTATGCATCTAGCCATATTATAATAGAAGTCAATGGGATCAGTTTGGGGGCGTGGCTTGTGAGCTTCATTATCATATTGTGATGCTGATTGGTTGCCTGAGTCAAATGAGCCCACCCCCAAAGACACTCCTATGTAATGTTATTGATGTGTGACATTTATAATGGAAGTCAATGGGATCTGAAATGGGACATCCCTCTCCATGTTAAGTCAATGGGGCAGTTATAAGGGTCTTTAGTAGGTTTGGGGGGCGTGGCTTGTGAGCTTTAAAATCATATTGAGAGGCTGATTGTTTGCATGAGTCAAATAAACCCACCCCTAAGTCTGTATGACACTGCTATGTAATGTGATTGACATGTGAGTCAAGAAATGAATGGGAGTCAATAGGCAATGTTAAGTCAATGGGGACCTCTTTGCAACGTCCTAGCACCCCAGGGCTACAACTTATACCCTCTTTTGGGGTATGTTCTCATACAGGCTGCAACCCCCTACAGATGTTGCGAATCCCATATTTCTACGAATTTCACACTTGGCGCTATAATGTGTCAAAGGTGGGCCCATTTCGCAACGCATTTAGTGCTGTTCTAGAAAAATGAATGGGAGTCAATGGGGCCCATGTAAGTCCCCACTAATAATAAACGTCAATTACAGTATTATTATTGTCTGATGGACATCTGTTAATGATAGTGTTTTACATTTGTGCTAGTGTTTTCATAATTGTCATTCTTTTGATTGGCTCCGAGGCCTAGAGGCAGTGTTTTTCTGTGTGTGTGTGTGTGTTTTTGTATTACTTTTAATTTCATTTATAACTTCTTTTAGAAGACTCACCTTTTTCTTTAACAAATGGCTGGATTATTTTGGTAAGTAACATTTTAACTTGTTTACTTGGTCCTTTCTTCTTGTTGTTGAACATGTGGTATCTCTGATCATATTTCTGAACAAGCTTCTTCAAACCTCCATTTATGTTAAGGAATTCTTGTTCTGTCACGTTGTCATCTTCTAATTCATCTGCTCTGGTGAAGAGAATCCAGGTTTTCTGAAAGCGTCTTTCTCCCAGCAGCTTCTCGATCTTCTTTACTGTTATTCTCTCCTCTTCAGTGAAACTGTCTGCTTTAATAACGATTAGAAATGCCCATTCACCCACTTCAGATTTTTGGAGAACCTTTCCAATTTTCTGCTGAATCTCATGCTCACTCAGCTTAGGGTCAAAGAATCCTGGTGTGTCGTACACGGTGACTGAAAACCCATCAACTGTTCCAGACCCCATAGTTTGATCTTGAGTAACAGAACTGGAGCATTTCTTTGTTGTGAAAGCTTGTCGTCCGAGTATTGTGTTTCCTGATGAACTCTTCCCAGCTCCCTTTTTCCCCAGTAAAATGAAGTTTAATTGTGCATTCGATTCCATTTTTGATGTGGGGCCTAAAACAAACAGAAAAAAAATAAGTTTGAGTCAATGATGATTCATTTAAAGGTTTTGTTTCCTTTTCTTTTTCCATTTGAAATCATGAGATTTTTTTTTTATTTTGACTGTTTCTGAAATTAATGATGGTAATACAATTTGTTAAATAACGGATATGGACAAAAACTTCATGCATATTTTAAGGTTACTTTTATGTGTGGCGTTTACTTTCATTGATATTGTTTTGTCTTGTTTTACCTTTTAAACGTTTCTTTGTATTGGAGAGTCACAGCGTGCCTTAGATTTGTTAGGTCATTTATTTCATATGTTGTTGGGCGGACGTCACTGTGGTGCAGTGAGTTGCATGATCATCTCACAGCAAGAAGGTCGCTGGTGGGAGTCTCAGCTGGGTCAGTTGGCATTTCTGTTTGGAGTTTGCATGTTCTCCCCGTGTTGGCGTGGGTGTCCTCCGGGTGCTCCGGTTTCCCCCACCGTCCAAACACATGCGCTATAGGGGAATTGGGTAAACTAAATTGTCCATAGTGTATGGGTGTGAATGAGTGTGTGTGAATGTTTCCCAGATATGGGTTGCAGCTAAAAGGGTATCTGCTGCGTAAAAATGTGCTGGATAAGTTGGCAGTTCATTCCGCTGTGGTGACCCCGGATTAATAAAGGGACTAAGCTGAAAAAAAAAAATGAATAAATGAATGACTTTTGCTAAAACTCATGCTATCTCAAAATGTTTAACTTTTTTTCGTGGGATACTAAAAGTAGAAATGATGGCTGAATAATGAATCATAAATAAAACTGTTTGCTGAAATGAAGTTCTGTTTTTATGTTTTAGGTGATCTCAGTGTGTTTTGATGGATTGCTTTCTTTGTACTTAAGTTAAATGAATGACAGCTTCCAGAACTTGTTGTTTTTAAGGTAAGCTTTCCTGTTATGTCCTATTTTTCTTGTGCTTTTGTGCAAATAGTGTAAATTGATCTTCACAAAACACTCTGGTTACTAAAATAACCCTCGTTCCCCGTGGAGGGGAACTTCAATGCTATAACTAGATTTAGTCCACGTATGTGGATTTCGTTCAGAAAGCCAATCGTCTGAAAGAGTATGTAAATGGGCCAATGAAATGCCAAATGAATTAGCAGCGCCAGCTTGTTGATGCTTGTTGCAATCAATTTAGCATATAAGCACAATTAAAGCAAGACACTAACCTTTTAAAGCTAAAGAGACTGATACCTACAGCTAAGGAACAATCGTTATAGCGATGCAATACAGCATTTCCGTTCCCGAGGGTTACTTTAGTAACTAGAGCGTTCCCCTTCGGATGGGGAACTTCAATGCTGTAAATAGATTTAATGCACATAAGGGGAAATGTCTGGAAAATGCCATAATGACTGCATCTTACCTTCGCCTCCGATGAGAGGATAGCCAGGCATAGCGTGAGCGCTCCTGCATCATAGAGAGGCGCGGTCTTCCAACGTGATCCCTGGTCCTTACTAATCCCACTTCAAAGAAGATTTACGGATTTAGATATATTTTTTGGGAGTCGCAAGCGTCTAGATAATTTCTAGGAATTTAAATACAACAGTCTGTTGGGAAAGCGTACAGTCCCAAAGGGGAGGATGCTGCGGAGGCCACCTCCTATTCAAATGGGGAGATATGATGGAAGAATATATGGTCTAGCCCTGAGAAGGGGAGCACGCACAAAATGAGATGGTTAGTAGAGAGGGAAGACACGGGGCACCTGTGAGGGGGGACTGCACTGTGGCTGAATAAGCATATGTGATCGCCTAGTGGGGATCACGAATAGCGGGCACCTATACCCAAAACGCGGGCTGACCAGCGGGCAGACCTACAACGTAAAGGGCCAGCGAGTGACTCCTCTGCTGAGTCAGTGGTGGGGGCCTCGGAGGAATCTGCAGGGCTCACCTAACAGGGAACTTTACTGACAGAGTGAATAAGCACAGTTATCTCTATGTTAGGGAGAATAGAGCAGCAAGCGTGTTTAAACACCTCAACCGAGTTGTTTCCTCAATCACGTTACCTAATACCCTTGAGGAAACCAGCTCGACTTGCAGATTATAAAACCTTGCCAAGAGGATCCGAGTGGAGTGCGCACGCACTCCTGGGGGACACTGGTCGCCCTGGTCGCAAAGCGCGAACTGGACAAAGTAATGAAAGAGCTGGGTCTGCCTCCTCCGGGGGCAGCGTTTGCAGGTTCACTACCTGGTCTTTAAACGGTGTGGAAGGAACCTTGGGCACATATCCCGGGCAGGGTCTCAGGACAGTGTGAGAGTAAGCCAGCCCGAATTCCAGGCACGAGTCATTGACCGAATATGCTTCCAGGTCCCCGACCCTCTTAATTGATGCCAACGCGACCAGCAGAGCTGTCTACAGGGACAGAAATCTTAAAGATACTTTTAAAGATAATCTTAAAGATCAAGTGGTTCAAAGGCATCTGTACACAGGGTCCTGAGAACGAGGGCGAGATCCTACGAGGGCATGAGAGGCGGGCGGGGTGAATTAATTCGCCTGGCGCCTCTGAGGAACCGCCTTCCCATGTTGCTGCCAGCCACCGCGTCATGATGAGTGGAGATGGCAGCCACGTAAACCTTTAGTGTGGAGGGCGACAGCGTGCTCTCCAGCTTCTCTTGGAGGAAAGAAAGCGCAACGCTGATCTGGCAATTTTGGGGGTCTTCTCTCCAAGAGACGCACCATTCAGTGAATAGACTCCACTTCAGGGCGTAGGCGTGCCTCATGGACAGGGCACTAACCTGAGTGATGGTATTAACCACCCCAATCGGTAGGTTACCTAAGTCTTCCTTGCATCTAAGGACCACACGTGGAGGTTCCAAAGATCGGGGCGAGGGTGCCAGATGGTGCCCTGTCCCTGAGAGAGTAGGTCCTCTCTCAGAGGGATCTGCCAAGGGAGGGCCATCGTGAGGAGGAAGAGCTCTGACATCCAGGTCCGGTTGGGCCAGAGGGGCTCAACTAGCAAAACCTGCTCCTCTTCCTCCCTGAACTTGCACTGTAACTGCGCGAGCAGGGGGAAGCAAACAGATCAATCTGGGCTTCCCCGTATCGTGCCTATATCAGCTGAACAGACTCGGGAAGGTGTTTCCATTCTCCGGGCCGTAAAGGCTGCCGTGAGAAAGCATAGGCTGCATGGTTGAGATTGCCTGGAATGTGAATAGCGCATCGATTTCAGCCGCGTATGACTTCACAGGAGCAGACGGCGGGCAAGCTGAGACATGCAGCGAAACCGAATACCCCCCAGAGAGAGGAAAACTGCAAACAGCTCCAGGCGATTGATATGCCAATGCAACTGGGTTCCTTTCCACAGGCCCACAGCTGCATGCCCACAACACACAGCCCCCCAGCCCATGCTGGAAGCATCTGTTGAAACAACATGACTGGACGCCTATCCTAGAGGCATTCCGGCCTGTAAAAACGAGGGGTCGTTCCAAGGGCTGAGGGCAGGGTGACACACAGTGACTCAGTGTGTGCCCACGTGCCATGCCCGTCTTTGGACTTGATTGTAAAGCCAGTGCTTTCTCATATGGAGCAATCCGAGCGTCATGACAGCGGCTACAGGTGCCATATGCCCCAAGAGCCTCTCAAAAAATTTCAGTAGGACCACTATTTAGCTATCAAACTCTCTCGGACAGTTCAGCATTCCCTTTTCTCCGGATGACCTGTGCCAGGGACACTTTGTGGTCCGTTTACCAGACTTAACGGCGCCCTGGGCCCCCCTACCTAGGTTGCCTGCTTTCGAGGTGCTCAATGCGCCCGCTTCGCTGGATACGCGAGTGGGGACGGGGCAGCTCTTGTATTCGGGCACTTTCTGCAAGGAGCAGCAGATATGGATGGCTCGGTGGGCAGAGCGGGCTTACGGTCCTGCCGATAGATGACATTACCCATAGCATCAGACTGCTCTCTCATGACGTGAATTTCTGGGTGAATTTACAGATGGTGTCGCCAAACAGGCCAGCCTGGGATATGGGGGAGTCAAGAAAGCGGACTTTGTCGACTTAGCGCATATCAGCCAGATTTAGCCTGAGGTGGCGCTCCTGGACCAATAATGTAGAAATCGTCCTCCCCAACGCTCACGCAGCGGACTTAGTGGTCCGATGAGCATAGTCCGTTGCGGTGCAGAAGCTCACGAAGCAAACTTGGGTCGGACCCACCCTCATGCAGCCCCTCGTGTAATCTCCCACTGGAACCCACAGACCTGTCCGAGTGCCCGCTGCAGTGCAGGAGACAGCTGGGGTGGTTCGCCCTTTTGCAAGGGCTAGCCGCAATCTTAACTGCGCAACAGACATGGCATTGCAATGACAACATGAACTGCCCGCGAGCAGCGCATTAACATGCTGGACCCCCTGACATGCAACGCAGTGCTGGTGCTCATCATCCAGGAACAGGAAACCACCGCATCCAGAAATGCACAGTCAGAGCGCCATCCTGAAAAGGACGTGTAGCACAACTGTGTTGCTCTTTTTGTGAAATTTGCAACTTTGAACGCACCGCTCTGGAGGACCCGACCCAAAGAACCCCAGGCAAGAGAGAAGCCCAGCTCCACCGTCTGCCGTCGCGTGTACAAACTCTGGAGACCGCTCTCGTTCACTCGAAAAAGCTGGATATCAGCAGGAGGAACCCTAATCTACTCTCTCTGAAGGCTGTAGAAGTCTCTGAACAAAAAGATTAGTGTCTACTTGCTTTCCTTGTGCTTATATGCTAAATTGATTGCAACAAGCATCAGGTACGCAAGCTGACGCTACCAATTTTTTTGGCATTTCATTGGCCCGTTTATATACTCTTTCAGACGATTGGCTTTCAGAACAAAATTCCCATACATGGATTAACATCCTCTAATAGCAATGAAGTTCCCCATCCAAAGGGGAACTGACATGTGTAACCTTCAAATTAATGTTATTTTAATGCATTGTCTTTACCATAAAACTTTACAAACTAGTTTGTAGTGCATGTAATTCAGTTTACTACCATTTGTTATTCTTCTAGTCTTTTACCCATAACAGCTAATGAATTGTAAGTCTAACACATTTACAGAAACAGGCATACTTTCTTGTTGCAAAATAAGGTGGATAATTGACAATGTGTAGATGAAGATCAATGTGTAGAATTTTTAACAATACCCACAGTCTAATTTAGGTTTTCATGTGTATTGTGTGTTCATACATTTTTTAAATGTATTTGCAGGAAACATGGTATGCCCAAAGTTGAAATAACAGACCAGTCCTGGGTACATTGAAGACAGGCTGAGGAACATACAAAAGCATCTGAGGCAGTTGAGAAGGCCACAAGGAGAGAAGAAAGATGCACCAAGCAGGACAGTCTTGCCAGGTAATGGGTTAACCTTATTTCTAAAAGAGTAGTTAGAAAAAAATGCAATCCTCAACCCTATAACTTTGTCAAGTAAAAAGATTTTTTTGTTTACCTCATACATATTATATTAGATAGCCAGCACCCTAAAATAATACTTATATATATATATATATATATATATATATATATATATATATATATATATATATATATATATATATATATATATATATATATATATATAAAATCAGTTCAATGTTCTTTTTGTGTTCATTCTTTTTTTTTTTCAAAACACTTTTGCTGATATTAAAGTAAGATACGTGTAAAGTTTGGGACAGGTTGGGTGACTTGGGTAGATGTAATAGTGAGTCAAGATATAAGTGATAGGTTAACAGTGTAATTATAAATATTGCAGACATTGATTACAGTCATTTTGGATGAATGTGTCTGTTAAATGTAAATATAATGTAAGATCATGTAACAAGAAATCTGGTAACATTTTACAAAATTTTGTATTTGTTAATATTAATATTAATATCGGTTAAAACTATTCCTTCAACTGATATACAGTAACAATGAGCAACACATTTGTTACAGGTTTTATTAATCTTTGTTAATGTTACAGTTTATTTCATTCATTGGTTTATGTTGTTTATGTTTGCCATGCTTTGTAGGCCAATCAAGTGCTCCGTGCATACCCACACCTTGACTCTCACACTCTGATAGACATTTTTTTTTTTTTCATTTGCACTGTCCTTTAGGCTGGAATAAATATGGTGGAGTACCTCTAGCAGACTGGAACATCAAGACCTCTCACTTATGTCACTTCAATGGACACACTGACTCCCAGGTATTTGCCATCCTGCTAGGAAAAGCTTTGGAACTAAGCAGGCTCACAGACAATTTAGATTATTTAATTCGCCTATAGCGCATGTGTTTGGACTGTGGGGGAAAACGGAGCACCCGGAGGAATCCCACACCAATACAGGGAGAACATGCAAACTCCACACAGAAATGCCAGCTGACCCAGCCGCGACTCGAACCAGCGACTTTTTTGCTATGAGGCGACAGCGCTACCCACTGAACTACCACATCATTATGGGGTAGCATTTTTGTTTTATGTATGTAAACAGCTTTTTGCTTGAGGAAGAAAATTACTTTATGTTCACACTCTGATGAATATTGACATTAATGTGCAGCACAAATGAATATATTATGAATATATGGTTCATAATATAGACTAAGAACACTGCTTTGTAACAAACAACTGTTTAGCTATTTTGATGTGCATATGGATTTATGTGCAAACAGCTTTACCAAACCTTGAGGTTTTTTGTAGTTAATGAATTTTTTTAAATGTTAAAATTTGGCATGTGCATGTGAATACTGGTGAATTGTTTAAATGTTGTATCTTGCTTTTACCTTATTTGGAGAAATAACTTAAAACCTCAGGCAACCCATATATTTGAAACAAATTGTTTTAAATACAGGTTATAATTTGTATTTACTTTTGTATGATCTCTTGATTTTTTAGTTGATGTAAAGTGTATTTACAAAATGTAATGTGCTGAACAATTTTAATGGAACAAAAATAGAGCTAACACAATATTGACCTGTTTGTTTTATGTGGTTAAGGATTTTAAAAGAAAGAAAATACATTAAAAATATTACTTGGTAGAAAAAACAACCCAACTATGGGGTTAAAAATAATAACCCAATTACTTGGGTTAATTTAACCCCTGATGTGTTCTGTCCCATATTTACCCAGCAGTATGGTTAAAAACAACCCAATTTGGGTAGTTTTTAACCCTGTGTTTTTTAGAGAGCAGATTTCTTCAACACATTTCTAATCATAATAGTGTTAATAACTCATTTCTAATAACTGATTTATTTTATCTTTGTCATGATGACAGTAAATAATATTAGACTAGATATTCTTCAAGACACTTCTATACAGCTTAAAGTGACATTTAAAGATTTAACTAGGGTAATTAGGTTAACTAGGCAGGTTAGGATAATTAGGCAAGTTATTGAATAATAAAGGTTTCTTCGGTAGACAATAAAACTAAAAATTAGCTTAAAGGGGCTAATAATATTGACCCTAAAATGGTTCAAAATAAATTTACTTTTATTCTAGCCGAAATAAAAACAAATAAGACTTTCTCCAGAAGAAAAAAATATCATCGGACATATTGTGAACATTTCCTTAAAAAAAGAAAAAAAATCAAAGGGGGGCTAATAATTCTGACTTCAACTGCATACAAAATATGGAATTATTATTATAAATGAATTGTCTTCTAATACAATTAATAAAGGAATAAATACTCACTTCAATGCTGACTTCAGATGCCTGAACTCTCTTCAGTCAAGTTTCACTCTTTAAACAAACTCTGGTTTATAAACCTTTCAGATGTCACCAGTTCCGCCCATCGGAGGAGAAAACAGCTCAGTGGAAATTTACTGAATGCAAAGATGAAAACAAGAACAGACAGTTCCCCTTCGGTTGGGGAACTTCAGTTGGTAGCACTTTATTTTGATGGTCCCCCTTTAGATAGTCTGTTGACCATAAGTTACTTTTCAAGTTCTTATCTGTTTACTCTCATCTGGGTAGTATCTGTAGATTGTCTTTTAAATGTTTCTTGGCAATCATTACAATGTCTACAACATGTAAACATTTATTTAACTTTTGGTAAGTTAAGTGTTACCAATATAGGTTCTAGATGGTCAACAATGTATCAGTAGATATGTAACAAATCTTCAACAAATGTTCAACACTGTATCAGTAGATAAGCAACAAATCCTCAGCATTAATGTTCAACAGTGTATCAGTAAATATGTAACAAATCATCAACAGATGTTCAACAAAGCATCAGTAAATATGCAACAAATCCTCAACATTTATTAAACTTTTGATAAGTTACATGCTACCAAATTAGGTTGTAGTGTAATACAGTGTATTAGTAGATATGCAACAAATCTTCAACAAGTTTTCAGCACATTTACCATCAAGATTTTTTTGTTGTCAGTGTCTGCATGTAGTTGTTAATCAGTTTATGAATAGACCTTCAGTAAACATTCAGATGCCTATAAGTAGCAACGCAACATAATTAAAATGAACTTTAAACAAATAAAAAGTTAGGGTTAGTTGCAAGTTTCATACATGTATTTGCAAAAGTGTTCAACTAACTATTCGTTGCATTTAACCAAACTTTCAGTAGACAGTTAGTTTACTTTAAGTTACATTTATCTGCTCATCTGTTGTCACACTAGGCCCATCAAAATGGAGTGAAAACCTAATGGCTGTTGATTGACTGTAAGGAGCCAACATCACAGACAGCATGGTACTATTACTATTCTGTAAATGTTCAGCAGATAGTCAACAGACAGGTAGTAGCAACACTGGTGCAAGTATTTGAAGACAGACACAACAGCACCACACATACAAGAACATAAAAATAAATACCAGAGTCATTAGTTCGTCCAACTGCTTTTAATGTATTGCTGTCAAAAAAAAAAAAAAAAAAAAAAAATGAACAGCCCAGATAATTAAGCTGAAAAAAACATTCAATTCAGGACAACTAAAACAATTGTTACATTTGAAGAGTTCAGATGTAAAACCTTTAATTGCCATATAACATTTATTCATTATTTATTTTTTTAGCTTAGTCCCTTTGTTATTCAGGGGTCACCAAAGCGGAAGGAACCACCAACTTATTTAGGATATGTTTTTATGAAGCGGATGCCCTTCCAGCTGCAACCCATCACTGGAAAACAACCATACACACGCATACACTACATACAAATTAGCCTACCCAATTCCCCTGTACCACATGTTTTTGGACTTGTCGGGGAAACCAGAGCACCCAGAAGAAACCCACGCGAACATGGGGAGAACATGCAAACTCCACACAAAAAACACCAACTGACCCAGCCATGGCTCGAACCAGTGACCTTCTTGCTGTGAGGCAAACATGCTACCCACTGCCCCACCATGCAGCCACCATATACATTTTTTTCTAAAATGTATATTTTTTTAAGTCTCAGTTCTGCAATTTAACTTTTTTTTGTGACAAATATATATACTTTTTCATTATCTTTAACATAGTAGGCTGAAAAAAAAACAAATTTTAGAAAAACAATTTAAATGGCGGGCAATGTGGTGGCGCAGAGGGTAGAACGTTCGCCTCACAGTAAGAAGGTCACTGGTTCGAGCCTCAGCTAGGTCTGTGTGGAGTTTGCATGTTCTCCCTGTGTTCGCGTGGGTGTCCTCCGGGTGCTCTGGTTTCCTACACAACTCCAAAGACATGGGGTACAGGTATATTGAGTAGGCTCAAATGTGTGTTTGGATGTTTCCCAGTGACACATTGCAGCTGGAGGGGCATCTGCTGTGTAAAACATGGATGGTGCTGGATAAGCTGGTGGTTCATTCCATTGTGGCAACCCTAGATTAATAAAGGGACTAAGCGGAAAAGAAAATTAATTAATTTAGTCGGAATTTAAAAGTTTTTGCATCTGATTTCAATATTATTTTTTTTTGGCATAAGCTAAGCTTATTGTGCTGTAGGTTTTTGCTTCTACATTTTACCAACAGTAAACAGGAGCATTATTGAACAAAGAAACATACAAAAAACATGGCCTTAACAGTAAGTGACATAGCAAATCTACTCTAATCACTTATTCAGATAAAAAGACAAAATTGAACACAACCATTATGCAAAAATCTCCAAAAATGAACTCTCTACACTTTTGAGCGAACTGTTAATTTTCCTGGTGTGAAGCTGATGCTGTTAAATTGCTCCCTGTTAGCAAAGTACAGCTCTGCAATTGCAGCGAGCTGAGCCACTCACTGCATTTTAAGAGACACCTTCTCTCTGGAACGCTTTGGTCATGGTTGGTCCAGGTCTTGTCAGCTTTAAAAGCCTTTTGTAGCTATGTATGACATCACGAACAGCTGAAAAACAATTTAAAACAATTAATATCTTCATGACCAAATAATTACAATGCAACCACCTATCGTAAGCCTAATGAGCATGTAAAATTATAGAAATAAGTATCATTAACATGCACATTTGTGTGTGTGTGTGTGTGTGTGTGTGTGTGTGTGTGTTTGTGTGTGTGTGTGAAAGACAGCATGTGCTAGTGTGTGTGAGAGAGCCATTACATGTTTATGAAAGAGCATGTAGAAGTGTGTGTGTAAGAGAGAGGGCTTATCTTTGTGAGTGAGAGCATGTACATGTGTCTGTGAGATGTCTATGTGTTGGCAACATTGCATTACAGTCATGCTAAAAAAGTAATTCTGAATTGAATTGAGATAGAATGTAGGTGTGTGTGAGAGAGAGCATGTACAAGAGTGAGTGTGTTAGTGAGAGTGTGTACAAGTGTGTGTGTGTGAGTGAGAGTAGTTAGTTAGTGTTGTGCTGAAATTTGCTATAAGGTATGTTATAAGGTATGTGTTTCGGGAGGAAGCTGTGAAGCTGAAAATTTGCTGTGTTGATAGTGGTGCATGATGAATGTCTCCAGCAAGAGTGTCCGCTCCCACGGGAGACGGGCGTCTTCCGTAGGAGTGGTCACTGCATTAGCAATGGTGTGTGTTAAAGTATGCATCCCCGTAATAGCTGTCACTGTGCTGACAGCGGTGTATGATGAGGTATGCGTCTCTCATTGGAGTGGTCACTGCGCTTGCAGTGGTGTATAATAATAGGGTGTACGTCTCCCATAGGAGCGGTCACTGCGCTTGCAGTGGTGCATAATTATGAGGTGTACGTCTCCCGTAGGAGCGGTCACTGTACTAACAGTGGTGCATAATAATAAGGTGTGTCTCCTGTATGAGGTATGAGTGGTCACTGCCCTAGCGGCAGTGTGTAATAAGGTGTGCGTCTCCCGTAGGAGCAGTCACTGCGCTTGCAGTGGTGCATAATTATAAGGTGTACGTCTCCCGTAGGAGCAGTCACTGCGCTTGCAGTGGTGCATAATTGTGAGGTGTACGTCTCCCGTAGGAGCGGTCACTACACTTGCAGTGGTGCATAGTTATGAGGTGTCCGTCTCCCGTAGGAGCGGTCACTGTGCTAACAGTGGTGCATAATAATAAGGTGTGTGTCTCTTGTATGAGGTATGAGTGGTCACTGCCCTAGCGGCAGTGTGTAATAAGGTGTGCGTCTCCCGTAGGAGCAGTCACTGCGCTTGCAGTGGTGCATAATTATGAGGTGTACGTCTCCCGTAAGAGTGGTCACTGCATTAGCAGTGGTGCATAATAAGATGTGCGTCTCCCGTAGGAGTGGTCACTGAACTAGCAGTAGTGTGTAATCAAGTGTGTGTCACCCGTAGGAGCGGTCACTGCACTTGCAGTGGTGCATAATAAGGTGTACGTCTCCAGTGGGAGCTGTCACTACACTTGCAGTGGTGCATAATAATAAAGTGGGCTTCCCCCGTGAGAGAGGTCGCTGAACTAGCAGTGGTGCGTGATGAGGTGTACGTCTTCAGTGGGAGCTGTCACTGCACTTGCGGTGGTGCAAAATAATAGGGTGTTTGTCTCCCGTATGAGTAGTCACTGCCCTAGCAGCAGTGTGTAATCAGGTGTGCGTCTCTTGTAGGAGCGGTCACTGCGCTTGCAGTGGTGCATAATATTAATGTGTGCGTTTCCCGTAGGAGCGGTCACTGCGCTAGCAGTGGTGCATGATAATAAGGTGTGTGTCTCCTGTATGAGGTATGAGTGGTCGCTGCTCTAGCGGCAGTGTGTATTAAGGTGTGCGTTCCCCTAAGGAGCAGTCACTGCGCTTGCAGTGGTGCATAATTATGAGGTGTACGTCTCCCGTAGGAGCGGTCACTGTACTAACAGTGGTGCATAATAATAAGGTGTGTGTCTCCTGTATGAGGTATGAGTGGTCGCTGCTCTAGCGGCAGTGTGTATTAAGGTGTGCGTTCCCCTAAGGAGCAGTCACTGCGCTTGCAGTGGTGCATAATTATGAGGTGTACGTCTCCCGTAGGAGCGGTCACTGCATTAGCAGTGGTGCATAATAAGATGTGTGTTTCCCGTAGGAGTGGTCACTGAACTAGCAGTAGTGTGTAATCAAGTGTGTGTCACCCGTAGGAGCGGTCACTGCACTTGCAGTGGTGCATAATAAGGTGTACGTCTCCAGTGGGAGCTGTCACTACACTTGTAGTGCTGCATAATAATAAGGTGGGCTTCCCCCGTAGGAGATGTCGCTGCACTAGCAGTGGTGCGTGATGAGGTGTATGTCTTCAGTGGGAGCTGTCACTGCACTTGCAGTGGCACATGATAGTAAGGAGTGCTTCTCCCATAGGAGCAGTCACTGCACTTGCGGTGGTGCAAAATAAGAGGGTGTGTGTCTGCCGTATGAGTAGTTACCTCC